TTCTTCAGTAACTTCTTGTTAAGTCAATAATGAATTTAAATTAAAAAACGAGACAAAAATAACCGCGAGTTAAACAAACTCTCTCTCTCTCCAGAATTGTGTGTTGTTTTCACAAAATAGTTATTTACTTTATAATTGATAATTAATTCAGACATTAATTTGTTATTTGAACCAAATTGATCTCTAGTGAGGCATTTGTGATAAAATAAATGTGGTTTTGAAAATATTTCTTTGTTATTTTGTAATTGCTTTTAAAATGAACTTAATTTATTTGAGGGGAATTTAGATAATTATGTATATTATAGTCAATATTCCTTAACGTAGTATATATTTATTGAGAGAATAGGCGGAAAGTGACCGCAAATTCAGTGTTTCCCCAGAATTACATCTAATATACAAAAGTTGTCATGAATTGTAAACAAAGAAACCATTAATTAAATCAAAGTCCTAAACGTAAAGCCATTAAAATGCATGCATAATATGTTTACGGCATATACTGTATGATAGGTACAGGTTATTGTACAGGTAGTGAGGATAGTCACTTATGGTAACGATTTCAAACTAGTTAATTAACAAGCCTAATGTTAATAACTTATTAATAATAAGTTTTTAGAAATCATTTATTATGAGAAAATTGTCGGAAAAACGGAAAATTCCTTTAAATGTAAATTTTTGACAGAATTTCAATAGAATTCATACATTTATCTCATAAATAAAACTATAGGAATATTTTTTGAAAAGTTCTTGACATGCGATCAGATATCGTATGAATATTTTAAATGAAATTCAGTATCCATTTGAACATTAAATGTAAACATCAGTTATAATAACAACAAACACCCAAAATGTATAAAACAAATGCATACCTCATAATAGGAAGCGTCACAAAAGGATGCGGTGAAGCCTTTTGTATATAAAATGTGAACAAATTCTGGTAGACATCGGACGACACCAACGATCGAGAAGATGGAGAGAAATATATTCCAAGCGCTCAGATATTTGCGTAAATCGTAACCATTGTTACGAAAACTCATTAAATATTTGGTACCAAAAATGACAATAATGTAAGCGATGGACAAATGGATGGAGTATTGCCAGTAGTTGACAGTCATCTCCTGGAGCTCATTGCCCAACGGTATGGCCCAATCCTCCACAAAGAAAGTATAGGGAATACCCGGATATTTATGCCAATCCTCTGACCATTTATCCGGATTCAGGCGAATGTCTTTCACATAGTTGTGGAATCGGATATCATTATCTCCCACTTCAACCATGATTTTATTTAGTTCTTTGGCTCAATACAAACAACAACCACTTCTTCAGTAACTTCTTGTTAAGTCAATAATGAATTTAAATTAAAAAACGAGACAAAAATAACCGCGAGTTAAACAAACTCTTTCTACTCTCTAATGAATTTTGAGCACTAAAACCAACTGTTGATAGAGAGTGAGTGATGTGTTGTGTCTTAAAAATATATACACTGATGTTTTTTACTGTATGTTCTGCGAGAGTGTACTGTAAAATGAAATCAAGTGAAAAATTTTGTGTATATATGTTTTGGCTGAGGAGAGAGAGAGAGAGAGAGAGAGAGAGAGAGAAGTTATTGGAAACAAGTTTTTGAATCTAAAACTTCATTGAAGTTTACAAACGCTCGCATATCCTATGGCTATGAATTGAATTTTACACAAAAATCTTATACAAATACACACAACGGACAAAACATACAAATACAAGCTTCAAATGTATTGATACTATTGTACTAATGTTATAAAACAAGTAGTTATTAATAGTAACTTATTATTCAATTACTTACGGCTTTTGTTTCAATCAACAAGTCATTAAGTAAATGAAATTTTTTGTTATGTTGTACTAAAACCAACAAAACATGAAAACTGTCTGTTATTTAACTTATTTCTTTTGACGAGCAATAAGTAATCGGATCTGAAGTATGTGTTAACAGACTTCTGTTAAAAATTTTTACATTTATATAAAGTTATACATTCATATATTATATATGAAATTATATATATCTCAACCAATACTTTACTTTATTTTTAAGAATTTAATTAAAAATGTAAAACAAATTAAAAAGCTGAATTGAATACGTGGTAAACCAATGGAAGAATTGGGAGCCAATCAATTGATTGGGCGACAAATTAACAGCCGATATATTTATATTACTTATTGTCTGTCATTTCGTGGGTCTTATCTATGGATCGCAAGGCTTTCCTTAGAAATATTATCATTCATTTATCGGTAGAGAGAAAACTATTTGCTTTTATTTGTCCACAAAAATATCACTTCTTGTATATTTGTGTCTAACGAGCCCTTAGATTGCACTCAAAGGTTAGCCAATAAAGTCTTTTAACCAAAAGGTCTACAAAAGTACTATTTATTATATTTTATTTTTTTCTTTCGCTTTAAGGATATCTTCTTTCGGATCTGTTGTGGAATTTTAATTCTCTCTTTAAATGACTACTTCTTCGGGCAGTTTTCATGTGTTGAGTTGATTGCAATCTTTTGTCTTTAATATTTTGTCATCGATGCTTTTTTGTCTCGTGATATTATGCTATACATGTGCTTGTACTATGTGTTTTGTTTATAATACCAACTATTTATATTGGTTAATTCATATAATATTTACCTGGATTAGTTGTGCATTATGCATGATCTAAGCTAGGCATACAATGTAATCTAATGTTCTCTCTCTCTCTCTCTCTCTCTCTCCTCATTATACCAGAAAATTCATGCACAAAAACATTGGGTATAACTTATACCGCATAGATTTTCAATGAATTCTATCAAATAATTATATTGAATATAGAAATATATAAAGAAATAAAAAATATATATTTAAAAATTCAGACAATTTATGAAAAAGTGGAAAAACAAGCCAAAAAAGTGAGCACTTGTTGAGTACCCCCTCGTCATAGTTGTCGTCGTCCTGTTGTGACGCAAATATCAGATTTATTTTTAATACAAATATTAAAATACAACACAAAAATAAGTATAAATATAAAGTCTCGTGGATTTAATTTTGAACGTGATATAAATGTCGGTGAAAATATCTCAAATAAAAAACTAAAAATAACTTTTAAATTCATTATGCAGTTTAAAAACACGCCTGAAATGTACATTCGTTATAAGACGTGTTGTCAGTACACCTATTGATGAGTTAATTAATTGAAAAAATGATTTCAATCTCTATATTTTGTACTGAAATTCATTAAAATTTATAAACTGTTTATCAAACTATTTGTTGTGCACTAAATTAGTACTGATTTAACACTGATTTCATACATAATTAAATATTTTGTTAAAATAAGATCAATATTATGTAATTAACAAATGTATGTAATTATAATAAAACACAAATTTAAAAGTTCGTCATTCAGTTGTCAATTGGTTTTGCAATTCTCAATGTGTTGTCAAGAATTATAATAATAATTATAATATTAACTTTATTTTGTTTATTAATTAAAAATCACATGCATTTTGATTATTCAGTAAACGATCTTTTTGTTTTATAACATATCTGTCAAAATATATTTTTGTAAACAATGATTAAATCATTGGAAAACATAATATGATCCCAAAATTGGTAAAGAATTTCAAAATTATTATAAAAATGCATATTATTTTTTGATTGCATATAAAAAACAAAATAGTTTACTAATTATTTGACAGAATATTTAACATGTTTTCGCATAAAAACATTGAAATAAAGTGAGAAAATCTCATTTACATCAATAGATAAGAATTTTAAACGTTATTAAACAAACT